AATCAAATCCTGAGACTGAGTCAAGTAGCTTAGAGTTAAAATTGAGATCTGAAGGAAACTGAAAAATGTGATGATCAGATTTGCATCTTTATATTATTCTCTTAGCAGTATGAAGAAAGGGGTCTAGTCCTAAAACAGTGAAGAGATGAGTTAGTACTAAGAAGTAGCAATGGAAATGCAAAACATTTAGATTAGGTGATAAAGTGGCTCTGGAGGATGACAGGAGAATCATTCACTTGAAAAATATTTAGAGGGACATAGCACAAAACAACAACAAAAAACCCCTCTGCCTTCCTGGAATTGCAGCCCTATTGAGATGAAATTTCAGATTTTTGGCTCTGTAACTGGATGTGACCATTTGCCAAGATAAAAAAATATAGGAGAGCCGAGCACGGTGGTGCATAGCTGTAATCTTAGCTACTCAGGAAATTGAGGCAGGAGACTTGCAAATTCACAAGACTAGCCTTGGCAACTTAGTGAAACCCTGTCTCAAAAGAAAAAAAAAAATGGCTGGAGAAGCAGCTCAGTGGTAGAGCACTTGTCTATCTTTGCATGAGCCCCTGGATTCAATCCTCAGTAACACACCTGCATGCATGCATGCATACACACTCACATACACACACACACACACACACACACACACACAGGTAGGGTTGTCATTGTGTTATTTGGTGGGGATCAAAGGAAGAGACAGACCTGGTTTAGAGTTGAAATATGTTAAATTTCTACGCCTTGTATCCAGTGGGTCCAGTAAGCCACTGGATGTATGAGTTTAGAATATGAAGTCAAGGTATGGGCTAGACAACAGACTGAGGGATTTATTAGGAGATAGTTGGTAGTTTGAAGCCTAAGGATAGTGCAGAGTTGAAGAAACAAGGGCTTAAGTTAGAACTGAGGAACAGATCTATTATTTAAGCTAAAGACAGATTTCTAGAGCACACTGAGATTAGCTTCTCCTAGTCCTCCAATAAAATCACGCCAAATAGGGGGAGAAAAGTAGTGAGGAAGATAATTGTCAATGGTGTCCAATGTTCCAGAGATTATGTGAAATGAAAAAATAGTAATAAACTTTTACTGGTGAAGAGCTCATTGGTAACTTTGTTTAGAACAATTTTCATTTAGCATTAAAGGCTGAAGTCAAACTGCATTATGCCATATTGAAAATGAAAATGGAAACAAAAAGAAATGTTTTCTCAAACTATTTGACTAAATTGCCAATGATATAGATTAATGATTTTATATGAAAAGACTGTTAATCAAATAGATTATGCAAAAGTATATAATATAATCTCACTTGTTCCAATAATCTATCACTACATAAAAAGCCACCAAAAAATGCAGTGGCATAAAACAATATTATATTAATGCTATAAGTTAACTGTATTTAGCTGAGTGATTCTTTTCTGATTATTGAGTTTATTTTTCCACATTTTTTATTGATGCATTACAGTTGTACATAATGGTGGGATTTGTTACATATTTGCACAAGATATAATATCACTCCTCAACGCTTTCCCCCATGGGTGATTCTTTTTTGTTTGTGGGATTTTTTTCCCTCTCTCTGCTGGTACTAGGGATTGAACCCAGGGGCATTCTAACACTGAACATTCTAACACAACCCAAGCCTTTTTGCTTTCTTGGTGTCAGGGTCTCCCCAAGTTGCTCAACCTGACCTGAAACAGGGACATTCTGCAAATTCATCTGAATTTCTTGGAAATTTCAATAGGATTGGGGATGTGTCTCAGTAGTAGAGTACTTGCTTAGCATGCCCAAGGCCCTAGGTTGATCCCCAGCAACACACACACACACAAACACACAGAGTCTAAGAGGCTTATTCTGTATCAAACAGAACAAAGCAACATGACAACAAAATGCATGGTCTTATACTGGGTCCTATATCTGAGAGGGACAGTTACAAAGGACATTTATCAGAACATCCCCTGGGGGAATTTGCATTTGTTAATTATAATATTCTATCAATAATAAATAAATGTTCTATTCAGTATGACTAGGTAGGAGAACTTGTGACTTCCTGCCTCAGCCTGGGATTACAGGAGTGTGACACTACGTCTAGTACTTGTCATAGAAATGTCAACAAAATTTCAACATGAGTTTTAAAGATATAATTGAATTTTGTTAGAAATCTATGAGAGCTGGGGATGTGGCTCAAGCAGTAGCATGCTCGCCTGGCATGCGTGCGGCCCGGATTCAATCCTCAGCACCACATACAAACAAAGATGTTGTGTCTGCTGATAACTAAAAAATAAATATTAAAATTCTCTCACACTCTCTCTTTAAAAAAAAAAAGAAATCTATGAATTGGGAAGCATCTCATCTACACAATAAGGGAAGCCTCAAAAAATAAAAATTTCAAGGGTGCCTCAATGAGTTGAGCAGAAGTTGAATTCATAGGTAGAAAGGGGTTGAAGAAAGTAGAAATAAAAGGGGGAAAGTGATTGATAGGTTCAAAATTACTTCCTTTAAAGGGTTACTTCCTAAAAGGGGACTTCCTTATCATGATGTCTTAAGTAGACTGGGCCCCTTCTGATTGCAAAACTTTAAATTTTTGGAAAATTTGCCTGTTTTAAAGTTAAAGTTCATTTTGATTATGTGGACTCTAGCATGAATCACTCCATTCTTGTTTGGTCCAGTCTGTTGGGGCTTAGTGAAGTAGCTCAATCCAAAACAAGGATATATTATATTTAACAGGAGATACATGCTGAAGTCTTCAGGAGTGAAATGTCATAATATATGATACCTGCTGGGCATAGTGTCACACTCCTGTAATCCCAGGCTGAGGCAGGAAGTCACAAGTTCAAGGCTGGCCTGGGAAATTTGTGAAATCCTATCTCAAAATAGAAAAGGACTTGGTTTATAGCTCCGTTGTATAGTGCCCCTGGGTTCTGTGGGAAAAATGTGTTTATATACATATATGGACATATATGCACACATACTCACATACTCACATACAAATACATACACACACATATACAAATACATACACACACACTATCCTTGACTATTGGAGGTGAGGAAGTGAAAGGTACTCCAGGTCAGAAAGTTCAGGTTTGAGTGTTAATGGTTTGGCTGCTTCCTGTTCTTCAGCTCCCAAGGAGCTGTGCTTCTCCAGGCCTTTTCTCAAATTCTTAACAAGTCCATTACCTCTTGATATCTTCAGCAAATTCTCTTTAGGCATGGTGAATTTCTGTGATTGCAGCCAGGGACCCTAAACATAAAGCTAGGATGCATACACAGAAGGGATTTATTCCACATAATTTTAAAGTAATCAAATGAATGTATCATGAAATATTTTAGAATATTATGGTGTTCATGCCTACTAGTATCAAAGGTGAATTCCAGTGCACTAACAATTTGTCTCTCTTTGCACATGACTGAATATAGGATTAATCCTTTGCCCCAAACTGCTCTTATTTTGTACCTCCTTGTCAATCACTAAGCACACTTCAAGTACTTATGTATAAAACACATTGGAATTCAATAGCTGAGGGACACATGGCAAGAACTGGATTGTACTCTGAATACATTTGCAAGGCCTGACAAAACTCATTAGAACCACACTTCACTTCCCATAAAAACAAGTGCACTTTGTACAGAAAAATTAATGAGGAAAATAGGAGAACAACATGGCATGATTCTTCAAGAAGGCTATTAAAAGGGGAGAAAATATTTTGATGATTTACTTTGTACAGTACTCATGTGATCTCTCATTTTAAATCCTCAAAATTCTGTAAGAAAAGAATTGTTTATCTCCATTCTTCAGATGAAGGATCTGCACATGCATAGTGGGATTGAACCTAGGTCACCCCCAAAGCTGTGTTTCTTTCAAAATGTCTTGTTGCCTCATAGTGCATAAGGTATGAAGAGGCCTTTCTGAAAACACTGTTTTCCTAAATTAGAACAGAATGTAAATGTATAAGGCACAATATGACTGATTTCCTCTTTTCCCACTGAAACCAAGGAGGGTTCTGAAGAAAGAAAAAAGGTTCCTGCTGGACCAAAGAAAAAGCAAAGGAATTTTGCAAAGCTGCTCTTGATCAAATATCTGAAAAAGAAACTTGCCAGAAACATGCTTTGAAAAGCAAGGAGAAAGCCATACATGAAAAAGCTATCTTCCATCACAAGGAATATAGAAGTACAGAACTGAGATTCAATGGCTAGGATAGCAAGTAAAACTGGCAAACTTCTATGTACCAAGGTTTTAGTAGTGAGAGCCCAAAGATCTGAAAGGTAATGCAGTTTCTTCATTTTCATTAGCTCTTCAGTGACACCTTTATTAAACTCAACAAGACTTCAGTTAACATTCCAAGGATTCTGGAACCATATCTTGCATGGAGGTACCAAAACCTAAAATGTGTAAATGAATTGATCTACTGGTGTGATTATGGCAAAGAGTTATCTTCATAACTCTTTTGACTGCTAGATCTCTTGATAAATATGGCATCATCTGACTGAAGGATCTAATTCATGATATCTATATACTGTTAGCAAACTCAAGCCAACTTCTTGTGACCCTTCAAAGGATCTTCTCCATGAGGTAGAATGAAAAAAAAAAAGAGTACCTATTTTGTAGAAAGTAAAGATGATTTATTAAAAGACAAAATTACAATAAATTTAGATTAAAGATCTTAATTGGTGTTGTGATTCTAGAATCAGGCAACACTGTAAGATGGGATAAGTGTTCCAGTGAGCTGAGCAGAAGAGGTTGGCTTTACAGACAGAAAAGGGTTGAAGAAAGCAGGAAAGAAAAAGAAAAAGAAAAGTGGATTGAGCATCTCAAAGTTATTTTCCTTGGGTAAAAGGGCCAGGGAGACAACAGAAAAATAACTTGTTATTCAAAACAACCAAAAAATTTCAGGTTACTATTATGGTAAGGATTAAAGCAGAAGGAAGGTAATTATCATGCAGATTGAAAGTGTCCTATTTGGAAAATTTGATTCTCTCTTTGTCCTGATTTCTTTGAAAATTAGATCATTAGGGCCGAGCCTGAGATCCTGGGGGGGAGGCTGACTCCGCCCTGGCTGGAGGAACTAGGTGCTCCTGCCCGCTGCCCCTTCGCGCGTGAAGATTAATCTCAGGTTAAGAAATGGCATTTCAAAAGGCCGTGAAAGGGACTGTTCTTGTTGGAGGGGGTACACTTGCTACCATCTTAGGACTTTCTCAGTTCAGTCATTACAGAAGGAAACAAGTGAACCTGGCCTATGTGGAAGCAGCAGAGTACTTTTCAGAACCTGTTAACAGGGAACCTCCTTCCAGGGAAGCTCAAATACTAACTTTGAAGAACACACCTGAATTTGATATCCTTGTTATCGGAGGAGGAGCAACAGGCAGTGGCTGTGCACTAGATGCCGTCACCAGAGGACTAAAAACAGCCCTTGTAGAAAGAGATGATTTCTCATCAGGGACCAGCAGCAGAAGCACTAAATTGATCCATGGTGGAGTGAGATATCTTCAGAAGGCCATCATGAAGTTGGATATTGAGCAGTATAGGATGGTAAAAGAAGCCCTTCATGAGCGTGCCAACCTACTAGAAATTGCTCCCCATTTATCATCTCCATTACCTATAATGCTTCCAATTTACAAATGGTGGCAGTTACCTTACTACTGGGTAGGAATCAAGCTGTACGATCTGGTTGCAGGAAGTAATTGCCTGAAGAGCAGTTATGTCCTCAGCAAATCAAGAGCCCTTGAGCATTTCCCCATGCTTCAGAAGGACAAACTGGTAGGAGCTATTGTCTACTATGATGTATTGGACGGAGCCACAAATTGGAACAAGTTGCCATGAAGGTTTTCCTAACTCATGCTAAGAAAGAGTGCAGTGCATTATGTTACCTCAGACCTTCACACTGATCCCTGCCCTCTACAAGAATGGAAGTTTCCAAAGAATGAAGGAAGCAGCAGCCACTGAGCATGGAGAGCATCTCTCCTGTTCAGCAGCATGTGGCCTTTCTCATCGCTTTCAGTTTTCTTTGTGTACAGAATAAAACAGCCATGTGTAGAAAATTCTGTACCATTGCATCCTTGAGGATCACTTGGCTTGATTGCAATGATCTCTGTGTGTATGTTTGCTTAGTCTCTTAAAGGAAAATAATTTGAAAGCTGAGCAGTCTTTCCCTCATCAAGTCATGAGCTGTGAATCTTTCTGGAGAAATATTGTACACCTTAAAAGAAGTATTTGAATATGTCTCATGATTTTGCTGCTGAAACTGCGGCAACTCAAGTTGCAGGGCTTCTAAACCAGCCTGTTTCTCACTGTTTACCCTCTTTGTCTGTTAAAAATTTGATTCTGTCAGCAGAGCCTCAGGTTTGGATGTTACCACCAATAGTTTGTGAGATCACAGGATGGGGAAAAAATGGTTTTCATGTGAATACTGCTCAACTTTTTGATGTGTGATTTTAGGGAATTTGTTGACCAAATGTTGACATGTGATATTTCTGAATTGAAATGTGCCTGCTTTAGGTCTAGGCTAACTTTATATCATTGATACATCTGTGTACGCTCTTAAGAATGAATATCAATACTTTCTATATCAATACTTTCTAAAATGTTCTTTTGTGTAATTTTGTACTCTGTCAAGAATGTCTTTACTATGTTAGTCTTGGAATGCTTAGAATGACTATAAAGGGAGCAACATTTTGCATTACAAGTTGAAACAATGTTGATTCATATATTTTCAGATGATAAAATTCTCAGTTTTCTATATGACTATCAATTTATTTATTTATATATATTCAGTAAT